TGTCCGTAGTCGTCGCGACCCGAGTGTTGGCATTGCAAGAGTACTAGCTTTAACCCTTTGCACTCGAGGGGAGGACAAATCCTGCTTACGTTAGACTTTGTTGGCTCTTAAATAGTTGATAGTAATATTAATTCCTCAACAGGTTCTTGAACTGATTATTTTTCAAATTTTAAGAAATCTTTGTCAAATGTATATACGTATTTGTTATTACTGGAAAAATTGTGTTATTCACTGGTATCAGTGATCAATTTTTAGAAATATACTTTAACAAGCTTGCCTTTGAATTTAGTAATACTTTTCAGCTGCTGATACGATAGAAACAAATTGTAATTATCATGTGGTCAATCTTACAACTGAGCTTGTATAACCATATAGTGTTTGAATAATTCTCGTTAGTTTAACTAAATTCTTGCATCGTTTAAAAAATTTCTTAGCAATCAACCATGAGGTCCCCATCATTCTAAGAAAGTACATAATTATCCTTTTGAACGTTTTCACCCATTAAATGAGCAGTTATGGCACGCCTGAGAAGACGTCAGTATCATCCTCGTAAATTGCAATAATTGCAAATGAACAACGTTCGATCGACGTCTCCGATACGCTTCTTCTTGGAAATGCATATTTCCAGTGTTAAACTCAACATGCACGTATCACCAACGGATCTTAAGCGCCCGATATATTCAAGTGTGCCACTCGAATGCCATGTTCGTTCGATTATTGATTGCATCCAGGACAAAACTAACCAGAGAAACAGGCGGTTTTGCGAGGGGGGCTTATATTTAGAGCGGAATGTACCTGCAAGGCATAACGAAGCGTAATCGAGATAGTATTAACTGTCAGAGCAACGGAAAAATGAATCGAAGATTAGTCGTTGCAAGCTAGACATACACATTTTACTTATGGTCGTGACTATTTTTGTTAGGACAGTTCAGGAAACTGGCTTGTGAGCAAATAAGTTAAGAGGAAAACTCCTGTCTAGACATGCAAATTTTTATTTGCGTCTGGATTCTGTACTTGAGTTATAGATGAAAATATTTACAATGTAAAGAAGAATGTAATTATTTGAAATTAATAAACGAGAGGTAACAAGGCAAAGATGTAATGATATATTGAATATGTATATATAGAGAGAGAATCTTTTGATAATATAAATCGACAATCAAGTACGCTAAAGTTTTTAAATAACCTGCCGTTTTAATGAAATATTTATGAGCCTTCGGACACGAATGATTTATTTATCACTATTTGCTCGCAGCACAGGATTTGTATTCATCTTATATGCTTATAAAAAATTCCCTAGTCGTTAACGGACTTCACATTTAAAAGCAGCCTTTGACAATGGTAGGAGGCAATTATTGTATAAATTAATAGACTGCAATTATGGATTTACTATAACAGTAACAATTACATCGACAAATGAAATCCAAAAATGTTAAAAAAGGAAATTGCTTTCCAGCAATTATGAATTTAATACGAGAGAAAAAATTAAATCAACAAATGTAATAAAAAATATTAAAAAGAGGAATTACTTTCCAGTATTTTCTTCCTTTTCGAAAACTAGAAGTATGTAATAAGACAATAACGACTTAATTAACTTTATAAGAAGAGATATTAATTCAGTGTAATAAAGTAATGGAGTAAAAATATTGGACATATTTTCACGTTTTGAAACTCCGACAATCGTATTGCATTTATTTAAATTTCAAACCGTCTTAATTAATTATTCAGAAGTGAAATGTTTCATTCGCGTCCCTTCTATTGATCGTGAAAATTCAATCATTGTTTCACATACGCGGAACATGAAATCTAGAATAGAAAAATACGCAATTCGTTTTCTCGTTACAATAGATTCCTTTTTTTACGGAATTCCGGTTGGCTGGTTTTTAAAAGCGAACCAGCAACAGGTAAGCTTATTCTCCTTCTGAATCATGGACAGAGTGTACTTATTTCAATGTCTTGTAAGGTTAAGGTTACATTAATGGAGATGTGGTAAGGCTATACATTATGTAAACCGATTGTGTATCCCTAGCATGTTTCGTTGGATTTCTCTATGAATAGCAAAAACCTAGAAATGGCTGGCAAGCAGTATGTTTTTGTAACCGAGTACTCAATCGAACGATCAATTTCAGTAATTAATTTTTGTTATCAATAATAGTAGGACTGAAGGTTATTTTTACTGATAGCACAATGCAAGTTCAATAAAACTTAGTTATGCGTGTTACTCAAACGTAATCATGTGCATTTATACATTGAATTTTGTATCGTCTAGTATCTACAGCAAGAATCGCGAAAATGGTTAAAATTTGGACATCATCTTGTACTTAAATCAGACGATTCTGAACAGATTTCACGCATATATAATATCAGTGAGAGGTAGTCTATCATCATGCTGAATCTCAGGGCCACTGCTTTTATTAAAGGTCTCGCCCAGTCCTCGTCATTGCTAGTTTCAGATATTAAGACTTTCTTTAACTATTTAATGGTGGATTTCACAGACTTCTTAGCATTCTAGATATTTGAATAGCTCAGTCATATCCATTCTTACGTTCATGTCTCTTTCATCGCGCACTTCCTGTAACTTTACATCGCTGCTGCTCGGTCCTCGATTGCCATAATATCCTTCTGTTTCCAAAGAAATATTTTTCCTGCATAAGCGAATGTTCGAACCATTTGCATCAACATAGTCTTCGTTACGTATTGCTAGGTGTCCATCACGAACAACTTTTTCCTTTCGTTACATTATTTCATCGGTTCACATTTCTTCACCTGTGTTGTTGTTACGGTTCAGTAGCAATAAGTTATCGTCACTGTCTACCGTGGATGTACAAATCGCGCATCTTTCTGCTTTCATGTGAAAGTAGTGTAAGCTATTTATCTACCTGTGTAAGGTTGCTTAGATTTATTATACCGCAACATTCTTTTCGCCATGATCGGTGAAACCACTCTATGAAAGCTTTCAGATGGTGCATTCCATATTTGGCGCACGTTGTAGGTACTATTTGGTTTAACTGTTCATGTAATCAATAAAAATACAATTGTTTTTAGATTTTTTATTGTGAACAAATTTAGCGCAACAGTAGCTACTTGAAGAATTTCAAAAAATTGAATAAGATCGAATAGAATTAAAACATCTAAGTAATACACAGTCGATTTTTAACATAAACGAATTCTTCAAATTAGTACATATACAGGGTTTCTTAATGTTTCTAATTCTCGTGTACAAATATCAATTTTTGAGGTGACGTTAGAAATTAATTTGATGATAGACTATTGTAATATAAAAAGATCCAGCTTAGACCATATATTTGTTTAGATTTTCTGTATGTACATGAACGTTTGTAGAATTTTACAATGTATAATATTTACACTATTTATTATCCAAATATAGTGTATAAAATGTACACTTGAACAGTTCGACCGTGGATTCTGTGAGTAGACTAAAATAATTTTAATGAAAAAAGAGTGAATAATTTATAGTTGTGGGCATGCTTCCTGCCTTGAAATGTCTTTTCCTTGTTCTCGGAAAGTCACACGTGGGAAACATTGATTACTTCTCGGCCCGAAACTCAATCCAACTGATCTCACCTTTTTTTTTGCGCTGAAAGGGTCGAACCGAGCGACGGTGTAGTATTTTTTTTCCAGCAGGTGTTTCGCGTGTCGTGTAACGAGACACTTTGAAACCGATAAACACCGACGTGAATCCGTCGTGTAATTACGCATTTCGCCGGTCGAGCCGGTTCGTAGCACGTGCTAAGTTAATCAATCCAATTAGAGCCAAAACTGGTCATTACAGCGGTCTTTTAAGGGGTTAGGTCCACTCAGCGACGTCAAAAAAAGGATATTTTGAATATATAAGGCGTATATAT